TCCGACACAAAAGACTGAAAGAAACAATGTTTCTATTCAACGAATATGTCCGATCAGGTTTGCTACTTCTCATACAAACCTATCCCGAGATATATCCGCCGATGAAGATAACTCGCCGGACTTACAACGATACGATAGAAAGAATTGCTTGGTGATCCAAGCAAGTGTTAGATTTTGCTTACTTGTTGAAATATTCCAAATCGTTTTATGAATATTTTCTAATTTTAGAAGACGGCATAGAATCGTCGCCTCATTTCGTAAGCGCCATCCAACGATTCATTCGAACGAGGGAAAATTCGGAATGGGTGTCTCTGACGTTTTCGAGTTTCTACATTATAGGTAGATTGTTCAAGTCGGAGGATTTGAGGAAACTGTCAGAATTCCTGGTGCTCTTTCACCTAGAAAAGCCAGTAGATCTTCTAATCCTCCAATTCCTTGATATCATGGTTCCCGAGAAAAAGATCGTCACCAGGAGAATACCAGGGCTATTCCAGCATATGGGGCTTTACTCTTCACTCGATGGCAAAATTCAAAAAGCAAAAGACTGAAGCTTTTCGAACAACATACGAGTGTACCACTTTCCCAATCCACCGGCAGATGTCGTCACTACAATAGGCATATACAAAAAGCACTACCCGGAGTATTGCTATGACGAATCCGATAAATTCTTCTGGGGTAGCGCACCGAAGAAGAATGACAGTTTTGATGTGATTTTAAGGAAACCCGCAAATGTACGTAGAATTTTCGTCAGTTCCGGCCTTCCGTCACACAAGGAGGATATTATAAGGTACGCAGAATTAAAAGTGGCAACAGTTTTCAAGAAAATGCTGACAGACAGAAAGGCTGTTTGTTCAGAGTTTAACACCGTGGCTCTTATTGAAACGGAAAAAGCTGATGCAACGGTCAACACGACATTGCCTAAAGAGAACATTCAGTGTATACGGATAGAATTCAACAAGAAGCAATCAAACTGGTTATTGATTAATGAGATATCGGTTGATATAGAACCTACGGAAAATGATTAACTCTTTTTCAGGTGCATTGAATTTTGTTGTTGAAATGGCTTTTAATCTGAAAACTATGAATAAAATTTATTACCATGGTGAAAAAAACCTTTTCGCTTCTTTTTCTGCAGCTGCACCAAAAAGTAATAAGAGTAACCTATCTATATTGTTTTCTAGTGCTTAAGTTTAATTTTCAGGGGCGAATTCAAAATTGTGTTAAAGATATTTCAGAAAATTTTAAATATATTTTGACATAAATATTTTTTTTTCGTAATCAAAATAATGTTTAGTTTTTCTATTATGCAATCACAATTTTAAGAATCAGCAAGAAACATTCAAATTGTGTCATGAAAATAATATGATTTTAAGCAGATACATACACTCAAATATATCTATCTTGGATAGCATTAGAAAGAAAAAATTAAAAAAAAGAGGTTGAAAGTCATAGGCTTTAAATGTGGTAAGTATGGAGAAAAATAAATGAATATATATAATTAAAATACAGAGAAAACATGAAAAACAATAGAAATTAATGAGAAGAAGGAAAATTATTAATATAAAAATATTTCTAAAAATATTAAAAAAATTATTTATGTATTTAAAAAAACACACACAATTAACTAAAAAAGAGTGCTTTCTCATGTTGTATCAATATAGCCAAAGCAAAATATATCAATACAATAGTGTGAGGAGCATGCAAACATTTTTTTGATATAATTTGCTTTGGTTACATTGATACAATATTAAAAAGCACTTCTAATTGCGGATATAATCGTGCCAGCTGATGAAGAGATTATATCTTTTTATTCATTTTGTTTTCCAGCTTTTTAAAAAGCTTTTTTTTAAATAAATAAATAAAATTTTTGCTTAAATATTTTATTTTAATAATTTTATTCTTCTCTTTTCATTAATTTTTATTATTTTCCATGTTTTGTCAATATTTTAACTTATTTTATGAGTTCTATCTATCTACATATATACGATCTATCTATACTCTTTATACAGGGTTCCCACTCTTTCAACAAAGCAAACATTAAGCACTTTTAAGTACTTTTTTGAAAAATTAAGGACTTAAAAATAGTATGATTGTTTATCATCAAATGCCACCAGAGACAGTGCAAATTGTTCACTTTCCTAAAAAAATCAATCAATAAAAAAAAATAAAATAAACAATTTTATTATAATGTAAGCACTGATATAATTGTATTAATTAACAGGGTTTGCCAAAGAAGTACCATACAATTTTTGCAAACCCGGGTCGGTTTAAAAAAAAAACATTTTCAGATTGTTAAAAGTTAATATCATTCATATTGTAAAAGTTAACGTATGAAACTAATCTGTATTCCATTTTTAATGATTTCATTGAAATTGATTTGTAAAATAAAGAGCAGAAATTAGGATTTGCAATTTTTTACATGCATATTAAAAAAAAGAAGAGTAAATATAGAAATTTGGTAAAAACACTGAAAAAATTATTTTTAACAAGTTTTTATATTTCACTACTAGACCAGCAAATGTGTTATATTTACTTTTATGATGAATGGCACAAAATTATTGCCAGCCAAACCTGTTATTAGGAATTGACTTAACAGAATGTAATTAAACATTCTGGTAAAAACATGAACTAATTTTAAAGCAACCAAAAATTTAACAAAAATTAAAAACAGTACATTCAGTTGTAATGTTAACTGAATAAAATGATGAATAAAATCTAAAGATCTTTTAGTTGAGTAAATTTAAATTTTTTTGTAACAATCTGCTTATCCTTAAGAAATAAAAATTATAGAGTAACAATCTAAAACTTTAAAAATAATTTACATTGTAACATAATAAATTATAAATAGTTACCAAATATTTAACTTTGTTTTAAAAAATTGAAATGAAAAATTGCTTCTATCAACAATAGTGATGCTAAGAAATTAAGGACTTTTAAAAACCTTAAACCAAATTTAAGTACTTTTTAATTTTTATTTTCCAAAATAAGAATTAAGCAGTTTTTAAGGACTGGGAACCCTGTTACATAGTTGCAGTTTATGCACAGTTAATAAAACTTAATCATTTTCTTCATTTTTTTTATTGTGCTATATATATATATAAATTTTACAAATGTTTTTTTTTAAATCTGAAACTTTATAGATATATGATAGAAACATTCAGGTAAAGTTCTTTTTATAAATGAACATTTTATTTTCTCAGACAACTCTCAATTAGAAGTCATTTAAATAAAAGCTTAGCAAAACTGAATGAGAACTGATATCAAAGATTAAAAAAAATTTAACTACAAACTTTAAATTTATTAATTAACTAAAAATATTTACAAAGATGTGTACAAGACGATGACACCAAATGCAGAATTGGTGGTGCATCTTCAATTGTCATCCCCTACATCTGAGATTTCAGAAGAATCAATCCAAAGATATGCATCTGCTTCAGCCGCAGTCAGCATAATAGGTTTTGAGGGATGAAACGATATTAAATGAACCACTTTACGTCTTTCATGTTTGAGAGTTTCTTTAATGGAACCCTAAAAAAATGACATAAATATTTGATGCAAATGAATACGATTTTGCTAGAATGAAATTATCATAAAAATACTTTCTCAATCTATCAGAGGGTAATGAATTAACAATTGAAGGGTTGAAATTATTAATATTTATGTAGTTTTATAGCTAATTTAAATAGTTTTAGTAAAATTATGTTTTTCAGTATACTTCATATCCTATACAAATACAGAATAGACTTTTTAGTATGTTCCCTACTATAGTGTACCGCTCGTTATAACAAATGATGCCTAAAGTTCATCTCCTATTTCATAGATACTGTTTTATTTTCATGTCCCTTAGTAGGTACACATTTAACTGTTAAATTCCAATATTAATTATTCTTCATATCCTATACAAATACAGAATAGGTTTTTTAGTATGTTCCCTACTATAGTGTACCGCTCATTTTAACAAATGATGCCTAAAGTTCATCTCCTATTTCATAGATACTGTTTTATTTTTATGTCCCTTAGTAGGTACACACTTAACTGTTAAATTCCAATATTAATTATTGGAATTGTTTGAAATTATGATAAAAAATACATAAAGTATTTTTCACAATCTATCAGATTGGATTATAACGTGGTCACAAGAGCAAGCATACAACACACAGAACTTAGATAAAAAATACATATGATAAAAAATACATAAAGTATTTTTCACAATCTATCAGATTGGATTATAACGTGGTCACAAGAGCAAGCATATAACACACAGAACTTAGGTAAAATTATGTTTTTCAGTATACTTCATACCATATACAAACACAGTATACGCTTTTTAGTATGTTTCCTATTATAGTGTACCTCTCATTATAATAATGATGCCTAAAGTTCCATCTTCTATTCCATAGATCCAATTTTCTTTTCACGTTCCTTAGAAGGTACACATTTAACTGTTAAATTCCAATATTAATTATTGGAATTCTCTGAAATTATGATTAAAAAATCTATATAGGTCACAATTTACCAGAGGGTAATGAATCAACAATTGGAGGGTCATAGTAAAGTGTTACAAGAACAAGCATACAACACAAAGAACTTATTTAAATAGTTTTCAATAAATTAAGTTTTTCAGTATACTTCACACCCTATTCAAATAGTTTACGCTTTTTAGTATGTTGTCTAATATCGGCCTCTCATTATAATGAATGATGCCTAAAGTTCTGTCTCTTATTCCATAGGCTCCATTTTATTTTCAAGTCCTTTAGAAGGTACACATTTAAACGTTTAATTCTAATATGGAGACCAAAATTCAATAATTTGATCTAGAAGAAGTTCAATTATGCGACAAATCTTCTTAATGGCAGCAGTTGGTTGTAAGATTTTCAATGCTCTCAGGCGAGGGGGTCTTTAGCATCTGGTGTAAGCTTTCCTACACCAGGGGGATGAGTAACAACAACAGAAGAAGTTATCAATAAATTATTTAAACCATTATTTTCTTTGATTTTAACACATAATAAATGTAAAACTCCTTGAATCCTCTTTGAATGAATGACAAGTGGCAGGAATGACAAAGTAATTTATGACCACTCCTAATCTATGTAACTCTCATTATACAATAAATGTATCAATCACTCTGTCGATTTTTCAAACAATAATAAAGAAAGAGTTGGGCTATCACCATCTTTTTGTTAGTTATCAAATTCTTTTTGGCACAATCCATGAGGCTCATTATATCAAATGTCTACTGTAATTCATAAATTTGTAAAGCAAAGGAAGTTCTTTTAAAAAAATTACATTTATTTTTCTTTTTTTTAAACTACTTTTATTTATTTAAATCTTTATGCAGAAAATTAAAAGCTGCAGAGTTTCAATTATAATAATTTATTTTTCATAAGGATTTATGTTATTTCCCTTCTAAATAAATAAATACAAATGCATTCAGATATACTATGTAGAAATATATATATATATATTTTTTTGGTTTACAGCATATCTGTTAACAAGTTTTTTGAAATAAGTTTTGTTAATAGTTTCTTTGAAAACATTACTTAAGATTTTTTTTCAACCAGTCAAATTTTCATTGCAATTTGTTTTTTAATATTAATGTATATTTTAGTGATTTTTAAAATTTTTTTTTTTTTGGAAATTAATATTAACTATTAAATTAAACTAGCAAAATATTTCAGTTATGTATTAATTAAATGATAGTTTTAAAATTTATGGTGTTTTTCTTCTTCTTTTTCTTGGATTGATATAAACCTACTTCTTCTGTGTTAGATTTTAAATTATCTTTTCGACCAGAAAATTTTACATGTTTGATTCTTTTAAAAAATTTTCAAGAAATATATAAAGGATTATTTTGAAACTTTAGAAATGTTTAGTTCATGATCATGTGATTTTTCATACTTCGCATTAAAATTTAAAGTTTTCAGTGGTTTAGGAGATCTACAATAAATTACGAAAGAAAACAAGTATTTTTGAACACCCTATGTCAGAAAATCAAGCAATGAGCCTGTAAACTTAAGAGTAAATATTAATAGAAGTATGGACATTTTTATAAAAAATTTAATTTTTTGAAATTCATTCTTTTTTCTCTATAAATCTATAAATATTTAAAGCAATTAAATAAAATTTTTGGAGCAATTTAAAATTAATTACAAAATTGTTGATTTAAATATTTTTAAAAACTTGTTATAACTGGGCATAAAAAGAGTATTTAAGGTAGTTTTTTTATACTGAACAAATGCAGAAAAAATTAAAAAAGTTACCAGTAAATTTCTGAGTAGTTTCTGTACTTCTTAAAAGAAAACTCAAAATGATAAGAGGTTTTCCACAAATTTTGTTTTGCACTATTAAACAAGATTTACTAAAAATGAGACTAGCATTGTGGGGGATTAGCTACCATAAAAATATATATTGTTTCCTTATACCGTCAGATTTCCGTTTCCAAATGATTATTATAAGGTGTTATCATGTGTTGTAAAATTTGTCTTATGATATAAAATATAATTTGTGCAAACCCCCTGATAATTTCAGGCTTTCTTTTGAAAGTACAAAAACTAGTTTTTAAATTTTTAAGTTTCAAATAAGATTTACTACAAAATTATGAAAAAAATTTTTTAAATTTTTCTGTGCATGCGCTGTATAATAAAACTGCCTTAAATACTTAGATCTATTTGAGTTTTCAATGAATTCTTTTAAAATTTTAAACCAACAATTTTATAATTAATTTTAAATTGCTTCAAAATTTTTGTTTAATTCCATTGACTATTTATAAAGTTACAGCAAATTTTTTTTCCATAAAAATGTCCATATTTCCATAAAAATTTACTCTAGTTTTAGGAAACTTCACGTAGTTATTAAAAATAACAACTGAAGTAATCAATAAAAGTTACAAGCTTATTGCTTGATTTTTTGGTATTGGGTGTTAAAAAATACTCGTTTTCTTTTATAGGTTTCCCAAACCTTTGTAAACTTTAAATCTTAGTGCCAAGTATAAAAAATCACATGAACTAAAAAACACTTCCAAAATAATCCTTTATGTATTTCCTGTAAAATGTAAAGAAATTTCATGTATTACTGTATTTCTTGCAAAATTCAAAAGGCTTTGAAAATGGAGACTGATTGGATGTTAAAAAACGATTGATATACAGCAAAAAGACTAAATGAATAGATCATTTATATGAAAATATATGGATTACACAAATATCCTGCATACAAAAAATATAAAACGGTAGAGAGTTTGATGATTCAAAACAATACAAAAACTATAAATACGGTAGAGAGTTTAATGATTCAAAACAAATTATTTACAAATCATACCATAAATCATGTGAAAGACTTATTAAATTCAAGAATCAGAGATACCCAGTAAAAAGCATTTGATCCTTACTGGTTTGTGTAGAGTAGGGGTATTAGTAACACATTTATGAAAAAAAAACAAATTTCAAGTAATAAGTTAGATTCAATGGAAGCAGCCCAATCATTAAAAATTTTCAGCGGTATAATGGACAATTACAGCATCTCTTATTTTTTAAAAATTTCAATCAAAACATATTGAAAATTCTTTCCTGAATCCGAATATCTGATTGATTTTCTCCATCAAATGTGTATTTATTTAATTATTAAACATTTAAATTGCCCAAAAAGACCTCGATAGTTGGTACAATAAAAAACGATTTCTGAGTGATTATGACGTCGCATGTGCTGAATGGAAACATACCTCATCCAGTGTTTTCATTATAGAAAAAATTCATTATAGAGAATTTCTCACCCTTCTTCAAAAACAGGGTGAGATTTCTAAAAATTAAAAAAACACAAATCGATTACAATACAAATAGAAAAACACAAATAGATAAAAATTATTTTTTTAATTATAATATTTAACATCTTCTATTTTTTTAAAAATTGAATATTTTTGTTGCATCATCACATGGAAAATGTTCTATATCTACTTTTTCATCAGCTATTCTCATTAGGTTGCTCAAATGCTTATCAGTCAATCTGTTACAATATTTTGTCTTAATTCGGTTTTGGGTGCCAAAAGACCTTCAACAGATGCTGAACTATTCTGAATCACAAATGTTGAAAGTAATGAAAGATCAAGGTAGAAAAGTAAAACGGATTTTATTCAAAATGTCACGTGACAAAACTTTTCCCAAAATGCACTAGATTTGCGCATTTTGAAATTGATTAATAGAGTGCGCGAATTTTGGGTGGTAATAATTTTTTTGTTGAAAAATAGAGGCCAGCTTACTAAGTATAAGATATTGAAGACATCTATTACTACTCAAGAATTCACTTCATGGAAAACTGTACAACTATATTTATTGAATATAAATCTTTAAATATAAAGTAAGAAAAACTACATTCAATTAAACTAAACATAACTCTTTAACATCACATAGCATAAGAGAAGAAACATCTTCTATTCAAAGCAAAGATATAACTGACTAAAAACAGAAACACCCACTTCCTTCAAGCTGAGATAACAGGAAGTGACACAGCCAAGAGGAAAATACTGCCCATCTATTTGTTTACATTTTCCCAACATTTTTAAGGCGAGAAAATAAAAAAAATGCGAGATTCTCGCGCTGTAGGGAAAACACTGCTTCATCCATCCGCTAAGGTTAAAAGTTACGAGCTTATTGCTTGATTTTATGGTATAGGGTGTTCAAAAATACTCGTTTTCTTTTATAGGTTTCCCAAACCTTTGTAAACTTTAAATCTTAGTGCCAAGTATAAAAAATCACATGAACTAAAAAACACTTCCAAAATAATCCTTTATGTATTTCCTGTAAAATGTAAAGAAATTTCATGCATTACTGTATTTCTTGTAAAATTCAAAAGGCTTTGAAAATGGAGATTGATTGCATGTTAAAAAACGATTGATATACAGCAAAAAGACTAAATGAATAGATCATTTATATGAAAATATATGGATTACACAAATATCCTGCATACAAAAACTATAAATACGGTAGAGAGTTTGATGATTCAAAACAAATTATTTACAAATCATACCATAAATCATGTGAAAGACTTATTAAATTCAAGAATCAGAGATACCCAGTAAAAAGCATTTGATCCTTACTGGTTTGTGTAGAGTAGGGGTATTAGTAACACATTTATGAAAAAAAAAACAAATTTCAAGTAATAAGTTAGATTCAATGGAAGCAGCCCAATCATTAAAAATTTTCTGCGATATAATGGACAATTACAGCATCTCTTATTTTTTAAAAATTTCAATCAAAACATATTGAAAATTCTTTCCTGAATCCGAATATCTGATTGATTTTTTCCATCAAATGTGTATTTATTTAATTATTAAACATTTAAATTGCCCAAAAAGACCTCAATAGTTGGTACAATCAAAAACGATTTCTGAGTGATTATGACGTTGCATGTGCTGAATGGAAACATACCTCATCCAGTGTTTTCATTATAGAAAAAAATGGGAGAGAATTTCTCACCCTTCTTCAAAAACAGGGTGAGATTTCTAAAAATTAAAAAAACACTAATCTATTACAATACAAATAGAAAAACACAAATAGATAAAAATTATTTCTTTAATTATAATATTTAACATCTTCTATTTTTTTAAAAATTGAATATTTTTGTTGCATCATCATATGGAAAATGTTCTATATCTACTTTTTCATCAGCTATTCTCATTAGGTTGCTCAAATGCTTATCAGTCAATCTGTTACGATATTTTGTCTTAATTCAGTTTTGGGTGCCAAAAGACCTTCAACAGATGCTGAACTATTCGGAATCACAAATGTTGAAAATAATTAAAGATCAAGGTAGAAAAGTGAAACGGATTTCATTCAAAATGTCACATGATAAAACTTTTCTCTATTCTGAATCACAAATGTTGAAAATAACGAAAGATCAAGGTAGAAAAGTAAAACGGATTTTATTCAAAATGTCACGTGACAAAACTTTTCCCAAAATGCACTAGATTTGCGCATTTTGAAATTGATTAATAGAGTGCGCGAATTTTGGGCGGGAATAATTTTTTTTTGTTGAAAAATAGGGGCCAGATTACTAAGTATAAGATATTGAAGACATCTATTACTACTCAAGAATTCACTTCATTGAAAACTGTACAACTATATTTATTGAATATAAATCTTTAAATATAAAGTAAGAAAAACTACATTCAATTAAACTAAACATAACTCTTGAACATCACATAGCATAAGAGAAGAAACATCTTCTATTCAAAGCAAAGATATAACTGACTAAAAACAGAAACACCCACTTCCTTCTAGCTGAGATAATAGGAAGTGACACAGCCAAGAGGAAAATACTGCCCATCTATTTGTTTACATTTTCCCAACATTTTTAAGGCGAGAAAATAAAAAAAATGCGAGATTCTCGCGCTGTAGTGAAAACACTGCTTCATCTATCCGCTAAGGCTATTTTAATGCTCTTTTGTTTATGATATAACTTACATTGTATGAACATTCTTTGTATAATTTTTGGCAGAGATAACGAAACAGAGACGATGTAATTTCGAAAAAGGCTACATCACATGTGAGATAAATAGAGAGTTAAAGTAGCAAAAAAAAAAAAAAAAANAAAATTAATGATTTCCACCTATTTAAAAAATATTTGTACAGCAGTAAAATATTATAATTTTCAATTATATCTGTTTTATGATTTAAAAAAAATTTAAAGTATAATCTCACAAATATGCACTGTGTTAATACTGAGGGGCTCAAAGAAGACTGTGAACTTTTAAACAGGAAAAAAAAAATCAAAAGAGATAAATGTACATTTTGCATGAAAAAACAGTTTTGTCAACAAGTGACAGGATTTTTTTTCTAAATGATATTGCGATTGAGAAAAATTATAAGACAATGTTCTTCAAATAACCCCTATCTGCAGTTACAGTCTGAGGACAAAATTAACAGAATGACCTGGCATGTAGTAGAAATTATTGTTTTACAGTTTTAACAATCATCAGCTGATAAATTTTTAAACTAATTTTGAATTTGTTGAGAGTAAACACTGCATTTTTTTAAAAGTGGACTG